GAATGAATGCCCACAAACAATATCTGATTTTAAGTACATAAAGTTTCTGGCCCACAATGCACTCACTCAACGGTAGCTAGTACTATTTTCCTATTGGCCTACAGTCAAGATGTACCTGCCTGCAAGTATCTCAGACAAACTCCACCTTAGCACCTCTCATGGGGAAGGACCCCACAGGCGTGTGGCACTCAAAGGTATAGGCACCATGCTTCCTGTTCACAGGTTACTCACTGTGCCCTTCACAGGTGAAAGGCAAACTGGATATGCGCAAATGAGAAAGGGCTGCTCCCTTTGTCCTTCCATAATTAAAAAGGGCTCTGGACCGAAGTGGGTGGAGCCAGGCAGAACCCTGGCCAGAAGGCACCTACCTTCCCTCCACCCAGTGACAACCCAGAAGGCACGGTCCCTTGGTCTTCAGAGCTGATGCCTTTCAACAACCCCCTACCCTCCAAAACCACCGATTATCTGCACTGATGATAATATGATACGTACAGGTGATTATTAGTACAGCTGTACTGAAAACCCATCCCTTTCAGTCTGTCTTCCAGGATTTTCACACTGCCTTCTCCACAGGATTCCCTAAAACACAAACACAGAAATACAAAATAAGAGGATGGAAGGAGTCTTTTCTGGGTTAATTAAAATGTATTTTGGCCATGTGTTTCTGGGATAGTCTCCTCTTCTGGAGAAATATTTGGACCCAAAAGTGCTGCTTGCAGTAACCCCTCAGTACCCTAAAGGAGCTGCTCTGAGCACCCAACACCCAGTCCAAAGGTTGCATGTCAAGTGCCCCAGGAGGGCCTTGCAGGCTCATGCGCAGGTGCCAGGTGCGTCACAGGGTTTCTTGGCCACACCTACCAACAGTCCTTTGTGAAGTGCCCCAACCAGTGCCAACTGCCAATTGTCCTACTTACAGTGTATTAAGTTAAGCTTTATATGGCAACAAAATATGCAATTTAAAAAAACATTAGAAAGTGCAAATAAACAAAAGGGAAGAAGAAAAAATCTTACATCACCAGAGGTAACTGCTGCTAATATTTTGATGAATGTCATTCTAGACCTTTTAAATATACTTATTCGCATGAGATTTGAAATATAACAGTGGAGTTCTGCTGTCCGTGCATTTCATTTTCTGCATTTGCCCTTGTCTGTGGACATACATACATGCCTGCCCTTGTTTTTAATTCCTATGTACTCTCCCTTCCATAATTGGAACATAATCCCTGAAACCAGACACCTCTTAAAGATCAAGTTCATTCATATATTTCAATCTCATGCACACTACAACAAACCTTGATAAAGCTTCATTTTTATACACATCCTTCATTATTTGTTTCCTAAGCATAAAGTGCTAAAAGTAGGTTTTCTGGTACCAAGCTTTTGAATGCATTTTAAGGCTCTTGATAGGCACCACCACAGTGAACCCCAAGCTAATCACCCAGCAGAGTATGAGGTGTCCATTTCCCCACTTTTTCATCAACAGGGGTTCTTGCTGCCCCACTTTGTGATTAAGCAGGGGGTGGGGTATATAAAGGCAAACAGGTGTGGTCAACAGGCATGGTATTCATATTCATATCAAAGACAGGGCCCTGCCTCACTTTACTGGGAGCACAATAGCTCAGTTGCTTAAAGCATCATCCTGATACACTAAGGCTGCAGGTTCGATCCCTGGTCAGGGCACATATAAGAATTAACCGATGAATGCCTCAGTGCAACAGGTCTCTCTCTCTCTCTCTCTCTCTCTCTCTCTCTCTCTCTCTCTCCTCTTTCTAAAAGAGACTATTGTTTTCCCAAAAATGAAAATGCAAAACAGACAAGAATATCCCCTTCGGGAAAAGCAGGTTTGCAGGATTACCCTCCTCAAGAGCATCATAGCTTACAGGTTGGGTCCCCCGATTTCATGCATAACCCAGATCTCAATTCGTGTGATTTTATCCTTCTGGAGGTAGGGAATTTCAAAATCTGCAAAAAACCTGAAAAACAGGAAAGACATTTCTCAAAGTCCTAAAGTAATATGATACTTTTGCCATTTCAATGTTAGCTGAGTTACACAATACTTTTTTTTTCAAGTCTTTGGAGGCTATTTTTTAGCTTTAACTTTTTAGGTTACTTATTTCATTCATGCATTCATCATCTGTTAATGGTGTAACTGGATAAACATACTAGTATATCTGATCTCCAGGTCTTTCAATGGTTTTGCTTAGGTTGGGGATTAGGACCATTCTCATAAGCCTCCTTCCAAAACAACTAGATAAACATTTTGGCATCTCTGCTGTATTGGTTGGTGCTGGCATTCTTACCCTTCTATGGGATAGGCTCCTGTTGGCTCTGAACCATTCAGCATGACGTGGATCACCCCAGAACTGTCCTGTGCATACTGCAAGAAGAAATGAGTCTTTTTTCAGCTATGAAATGGACAAATTATATATATGTTTTTAGAGAAAGAGAGAGACATGGATATGCTGTTCCACTTATACATGCATTTCCTGGTTGATTCTTGCGTGTGCCCTGAATTGCTCTTATGATCCACGTCCAGGTGACAACGCATCCATAGCCAACTGCCTGGAGCCTGTACTCAAAGCAGAGCTTATGGGGAGTGGGTGCAAACACAGGGCTCCCATCGGAGCGGCCTGGAGAGCACTGGATGAATATATAATGCATTTGTCCAGAGCAGGCCCTCTGCTTAGCTCCCAATGGCATCTGTGGTGAAGGATTTGACCAAAGTCCCTCTTACCCTGATTAACAATGGACCTGGTGGACACCTGGGAATGCAGAGCAGGAAATGGGACCCAAAGAGACACAGAGAGCCCTGAAAGGAGATTGGTTGGCAGCGATGGGTCAGGGGACCCTGAAGTCCGTGGGCCACCTAGTCAATACAGGGAACATTTAATAGTAGACAGCTCTTTGCCAGGCACAGAGCTAAAGACTTAACCCTCATTAATTTCTAATATTTGTTCCAACCTGGTGGGAGAAAATGTGAACTGTACTCACTGGTGATAGTGACTACCATCACCCCTGGTGACAACATTCTCTGAGGAATAGACTTCCCTCAAGGAGACCATTTCTGGATCTCCAGTTTGTCCTCAGTCCTCTCTCACCTCCTCTCCCACGGGCATCAGTCTTAGAGACATTTCTGACTCCCACATCTAGATATCAGGTGTCCCAGGGCCTCCCAGAAAGTAGGGGCCACTCTATTTTATATAGCAATCAAAATCACAATTATTCGAGCCCAGCCGGAGTGGCTCAGTGGTTGAGTATCAACCTATGAACCAGGAGGTCACAGTTTGATTCCCGGTCAGGGTACATGCCCGGGTTGAGGGCTCAATCCCCAATAGGAGACATGCAGGAGGCAGCCGATCAATAATTCTCTCTCATTATTGATGTTTCTATCTCTTTCTCCCTCTCTCTTCCTCCCTGAAATATATATATTAACCACATTGATTTGAAATCCTAACAACCACCACCACCTGACAGCAATAACGACTATTTAATATCCTCATCTCTGATGAACACTAATTGAACATCTCTGTGCCCTGTTAAGCTCAAGTCCACACAACTTTATGGAGCAAAGAGACTAAATCAGAGTCCTGAAAAGGTGGAAAGTTAGGCTCTAAGAAGGTACGTGATGACCCGATGGCCCAGTCTCGGAACGTCTCTGACCCCCTCTGTCCCATGCTCGGGGGTCCCTGCTGTGCCCAGCCCCTAGCCGTGCACCCCAGGGTTACCTGCATGGATGCCCTTTTCCAGAAAGAATCCACAGCATTGTCTTCACAATCCTCTGATGCAGGGCATGATTGGTAATCGAGTCCTAGGAGGAAAACAAACACATTTCATTTCAAAGAGGATATTGGGACGAATTAATTAAAGGTATTTTCTGGCTCTGAAAAATATATTCAGCCTGTGTTCTGCATAATGTGCTCAAGCTGAGCAGTCACCGTTCTGCCCACCCAATCCACAGGAGCCTGGTGAGTGTCCTCCCAATCCGTGATACGGAGACGTATCATCTTGCTCGGCGCAGATGCGAGGAAGGTGAAGAACTGAGCAGTTGGCTAATGAGTGAGCCTGGCCAGCCACCAGCATTTTAGCTGGGTTATTCTCTCCCGCAATGCTAGGAAAGGGATTTTAAAAAACCCACATACAACTTTGCTTCACTGGAAGAAGAACCTTCTCCAATTAGCCCTGGTTTGGAAGTAAATACAAGAAAAACATAAAGTGATAGTCTTAGCCAGAAAATAGACATTTTATAACATGTTCAAATATATTAAATTGTATTAACTTTAAGGACATAATTCAGTAGATATATATGGTATTTGTTCACTATATACTCTATTAAAAAACAAACAAATAAAAAAAAGGAACATGCTAATTGACAAGTTGTTCCAGGGAGAACCAAGCAGGACACAATGTGTCCCTGAAGGCAGGCGATGTGTTCAGGGAGGTGCAAACATGATCACCTGTAATGTTGTTAAGGTGCAAGGCCCATTGCATAACTCAAGAGAGGATCAGTATAAGAAAGTGGTAATTACTTCTGTAAATTACACACTCTAGTCTTGAACATAGTTCTGGTTATCATGGGGGCAGGTCAGAAACCAAATTTCTCAGAGATCTTTGAGCCTCAGAGAGGTCCCAGGGATGGTACATGGCACGGAGGATTGGAATCAAACTCTCTGGCTTGCCACTGCTCCTCCCACTATTTCTGACAGCCACGGCTTTAGGTGGTATTTGTCCCAAAAGTAATTTCTGTATTTTCCTGTTTTATACTTTCTTGCTCTTAAACTATGGACAACTGGTGAGTATTGTTAATGATCATTTCTCTAGTTGAAGAATTCTCTTCATTAAAAATAGTTTATTCTATCCTTGAATAATTCTCTTCATTAAAAATAGTTTATTCTAGCCTGGCCAATATGACTTAGTGGTTGAGCGCTGACCCAGGAACAAAGAGGTTGGCGATTTGATTCCTGGTCAGGGCACATGCCCAGGTTGCAGGCTCAATCCCCAGAAGGGGTGCAAGCAGGAGGCACTTGATCAATGATGTTTCTCTCTCACTGATGTTTCTAACTCTCTACTCCTCTCCCTTCCTCTCTCTCTAAAAATCAATAAAAACATATTTTAAAAAATAATTTATTATCTAAACTAAAAAAACAAAAACTGAAGTAAATATGGATAAGAAAAAAATGTATGACTTCAGCCTGACGGGCGTGGCTCAGTGGGTTGAACATTGACCTATGAACTAGAAGGTTACAGTTCAATTCCTGGTTGGGGCACATGCCCAGTTGCATGGTCAATCCCTAGTAGGTGACATGCAAGAGGCAGCTGATCAATGATGTTTCTCTCATTATTGATGTTTCTCTCTCTCCCTCTCCCTTCCTCCCTGAAATCAATAAAAATAAATACTAAAAAATAAAAAATGTATGACTTCAAATTCCTAGCAAGAACAGTTCGGGTTTGATATCTTCTTGACTTTTTTCATGTGTATAATTTCATATGTATTTGTGTGTATATTTTTTTATTTGAATTAACTTGATTTTTTTCACTTAAAAATATATCACAAACACCTCACCAGATCAACAGACACAAAGCCAGACCATCATTGTTCACAGCTCCACGAGACACCATGACATGAACGTAGCATTATTTTTCTGATCCTAAACTCTGGGCTTCACTTCCTTTTTAAACAAAGACCCTTTAGAAGATGGCATCGATCGAATCAGAGAGGTGGGGAATAACCTGTGATTTTCTGGGGCACTTTCTCTGAGCTGCTTTACTCTCAACACTTCTGACAACAATCACTTCTCCAAACTCTCCAGGCTGGGGGGTCCCACAATTCAATTTAGTTCGGACACTAACTATGCAGAGTTAGCATAGACACCACGGGTTAAGGCCTCGATCCCACAAGACTGCCCCACTTCACTCTTTACTTACCACCCTCCTTGCTATGCTTAAATATGCCAGACACACCCCCAACTCAGGGCCTTTGCACCTGCTGTTCACTCTGTCATGAATGCTCTTCCTCATCTCTTTTATTAAAGGCTGCTCAAATATCAGCTTCTCGTGAGGGGTGAGGCTTTCCCTGGGCCTATGTGACACTGAAACACTTTCCTCTCCCCTCATCCCCCTGCCCAGCACTTCCATCCTCTTCCCTTGTTTTGTTTTTCTCTGTAGTCCTTATAATCTTATGCAAGGCTATATATTTTACTTGCCTGTCTATTGTCTTATTGCCCCTCTATAATTTAAGAATGGGTTTTATAAAGCCCAGCTGGCATGGCTCAGTGGTTGAGTGTCGACCTATGAACTGGGACAGTGACGGCGAACCTATGACAAACGTATCAGAGGTGATACGCGAACTCATTTTTTTGGTTGATTTTTCTTTCTTAAATGGCATTTAAATATATAAAATAAATATCAAAAATATAAGTCTTTGTTTTACTATGGTTGAAAATATCAAAAATTTATATATGTGACACGCCATGATTGATGTTCTATCTCTCTCTCCCTCTCCTTCAGTGGATAAAGCATTTGGCCTGCGGAGTAAAGGGTCCCAGGTTTGATTCTGGTCAAGGGCATGTACCTTGGTTGCAGGCACATCTCCAGCAGGGGGAGTGCAGGAGGCAGCTGATCAATGTTTCTCTCATCGATGTTTCTAACTCTCTATCACTCTCCCTTCCTCTCTGTAAAAATTTTAAAAAAAAGTGGGGGGTATTATTTTTCTGTTTGATTCTCTGCTATATTCCCAGGGCCTGGCACATAGTAGGCACTCTATGGCTTCTAGTTGGATGGATGAATGAAAGAAAGAATGGAGAAAAATAAGCAGAACTGTGCTTAGGTTAACATTTAAAACATCTCTAATACCCAGGGAGGAAGAATCTCTAGCCTTCGGGGACGAAACACCTTCCCCCACCTCCTTTCCCTGCTGGCCTGCTCCTGCTTGTCCTTTGAGACTCACCCAGAGCCAAGAGCCTCCTGGAAGCTTCCTGGCCACCCTGGTCTGGCTGGTGTCTCACTCTGCTCCTCCCTGGAGCCCAGCCCTGCCTGTGTCCTAGCACTCAATAATGGGTAAAGGCCCCTCTCAAGGCTATAAGCTCCCTGAGGGTCGGGAGGCTTTATGCTGCCAGCTCCTAGCAGGAGAGCTGGGCGGAGGAGGAGAGCTGTCCCTACTCACAGGTCAGTCCTCCTGACCTTAACTTTCACTGTGATTTTAATCTGGAAATACCTGCCGGAGGCCTGAAGAGGCATTTCAGAGCCCAGGCCTCAGACCTTTCAGAAAGGGTTGAATCCTGACCTCTCCCTCTTCAAATGATTTAACCTCCCTAAGCCTCAGCTTCCCCCTCTGGAAAATGAGGAGAGTGAGGCTCAGTTTTGCAGGGTGGGGAGCACGTGCTCTGGAGTCAAGCTGTCCAACTCTGCTGCTTCCTAGCTGTGCACCCCTGAGCAAGTTCCTTAACCTTGCTGTGCCTCAATTTCCTTGTTTGTCAAAATATGAATTAGGATTCGTCCTGTCCCATGGGGATTAAACTAGTTAATTGCCAGGGTTCATGTCCCAGCTTCAAGAAGGGTTCAGGAATCTGGAAAAGGCACTGTGTAGATGACATAGAAATCCAGAGACTAATAAAGAGTCCGGAGACGAGTTATAATTTTGAAAGGCATTGGGGGTCAGCCTATGGCTGTTTTGGGGAAACGCCTTTAGCCATTCCCAACAGATGACTACATCTGTGACTCAACCCTGTTGAGTCCCCAAGTTTCATCAATATTTTGATGAAACTCTTGTATGACATGCTGGAATTGGTCTGCAGCAGTTAATATACATAAAGTGCTTAGGACATACCCATCAAAAGATAGATGCTATCTGCTATGGTGATTAATTGTTATTATTACCACCTACTTCAGAGGATTGGTGGTGGTGGTGGGGAAGGAAATGAGGAAAATGCATATGAAAGCATTTAGCACAAATGGCAAATGCCTAGTAAGCAAGAACTCTTATTTTTCTTTTTCTTTTTCTTTTTTTTTAAGAAAGAAACAACTATTCCTTTTTATTATTTCGGAGAGGAAGGGAGAGGGAGAGAGAGATAGAAATATCAATGCTGAGAGAAAATCACTGATCTGCTGCCTACTGCATGCCCCACATTAGGGATTGAGCCCACAACCCGGTTATGAGCCCCTACCAGGAATCGAACAGTGGCCTCCTGGTTCATAGGTTGACCCCCAGCCACTGAACCACGCTGGCCAGGCAAGAACTCTTATTTGTCTTGTGTGTTGTGCAGGAGTCTTACCAGAGGCATTTTCCTGCCGACACCAGCTCAGAAGATCCACAATCCTGCCGTACAGAACATCGCCCAAAGGCATGAAGCGACGGCTATTCTCTGAGTAGCTGGCTACAAGGAACTGGTTATTTTCCCAGAACAGGGACTATGGAAAAACAAACACAACATTCAAATATAAAATGAAATCAAAACAAACTTTTTTCAGGCACAATGTCATCAAGCTCAGTCAGGCAACTCGTTTCTTATTCAACTCTGACCTGCCTCACAGCAAATGCACTTTCCTTTCTTGGTCTTAATTTCTTCCTGTTAGTCCAAGGGTATCCTGCAAATGTTAGTGAAATATTTTCCCAGTAGTATAATACAGTGTGTGTGTGCCCATGTGTGTATGAAGACCCCTGGATTTAAAAGATCAAGAGACCTGGGTTTGTGATAAATTAGATATGTGATCTTGACCAAGGCATATTCTCTCCCTGTGCCTCAGCTTCCACATCTGGAAAATGGAGAGCGTGAGCCCCGCCTCTTCTTCCACAGCTGTGTTTAGGATGCTATGCAATATATTCCTTTTAAGGTATACTTTATAGTTCCTGTAGCTGAACCCCAGGTGATTTTAGTGCCCCTCATGTTGGGGGCAGTTAGAATTAATTAATTTAACTCCTGGTTAGGCCTTTGTTCACATTAACTGCTCTTCTCTTCTTACGGATGTGTCCTAAATTGCTGGGGTGGGGTTTTGTTGTTAAGCAGGAGATGATGACTTCAGGGTCCTGAGGGAAATTTACGAGCTTGCCTTGCAGAAGGAAAGAATGCCTCCAAAGCAGTGATGATGAGTTGCTGCCACCCAGGAGTCTGGCTGCACAAAATGTTATCTGTGGCTAAAGAAACACAGACTTCTCTTTCAGTTCCCCGGAACTACCCATCCCCTACTCCCGAGCTGCATAAAAACTTCATGCTGTGCTTTTGGGGAGAGATGGGTTTGCGAGATCTTGCTCTCTTGGATGCCCTGGAAAAGTCAAATAAACCTTTCTCTGTCTCCACGCACCAGTGTTTCAATGTTTGTGTTACTAGAGCAGCGGGTATAAAGCCTGAATTTTGGAAGATGATTCTGCAATATTCTCACTATAAAGTTATAGTATTTTTATCCAGCAATTCCACTTCTGGAAAAGTATCTGAAGAAACCCAAAACACGAATTCAAAAAGATATATGCACTCTATGTTCACTGCAATGTTATTCACAACTGTGAAGATTTGGAAGCAGCCCAAGTGCCCATCAGTAGATGAGTGGATAAAGAAGATGTGGTACATATAACAATTTATAAAATATTTGCAACAACATGGATTGACCTAGAGGGTGTTATGCTAAGTGAAATAAGTCAGAGAAAGATAATACCGTATGATTTTACTTATATGTAGAATCTAAAGAATAATACAAATGAGCAAACAAAACAGAAGCAGACTCATAGATACAGAGAACAGACAGATGGGAGGGGTGCTGGGGAACTAGGCGAAAAAGATAAATGGATTAAGAAGTACAAATTGGTGGTTACAAATAGTCACAGGGCTGTAAAGTATAGCATAAGAAATATAGTCAATAATATTGTAATAGCTATGTATGGTGTCAGGTGGGTACTTGAAATACTGAGGGATCGCTTTATAAAATACATGATTGTCTAACCACTATGCTATACACCTGAAACTAACATAAAATATTATGTCAACTGTAATTGAAAAATAAAATTTAAAAAAGAAAACAAAGTTATACTGTTTTCACATAAAAATAAGACAAAAGGCAACACCCCGCTCACTCATTATCTCATCAGATACTCAGTAGTCCAACTGGTCTCTGTCTAGACAGGAAGCTCCTGGAGGGCAGGGCTGTTTTGTTCTCTGATGCATCCTCAACCCTTAGCACAATGCCCAGCACATGGAAGGAGCTCAGTAAATATTTACTGAGTTCATCAACTGGAACCAAAATCGACAAGAGAGGAGAACAATATTTATGGCTCCTCTCCTTACTGTCAGGGAAGCAGCAAGGTTCAACATATACTTAAAAATCATGGTTTTGGTCTATTATATCTCTGAACCTCCTGGCTCCATTTACCTCTTTTACAGAGGGAAAAATTAGTGTTAAGATTTTTTTCATTTGTAACCATCAATGTTACCTGACTTACAATTAAAAATCAAGTTAAGAATTATTATGTCGGCCCTAACCGGTTTGGCTCAATGGATAGAGCGTCGGCTTGAGGACTCAAGGGTCCCGGGTTCGATTCCAGTCAAGGGCATGTACCTTG